ATCTAATTATTTTTTAATAAATTTGTATTTATGCTTAATGCTTATCAAATTTGAGGCACCAATCATATGATCAATCCATTATAATAATTCTTTCCTTCCATGTCACTTCCTTTCTGTGCTTCAAATGGTTCTGTGTTCCCTCAGTATCTTTCTAGTTACTAAACTAACATACCTCAGTTGCTCCTTGTTAAGATCCCACATTTTAGCATTTTACCTTTGCTAAGATAGATTTTAGCCTTTCAAACTCTGGTATTCTATCAGTTCCACAAATAGCACATAAGTCTCAATTTTTAATTGTATTTTTAGCACTCAAGTGGTAATTTTTTTTTTTAAGGGACAGGTCTTGCTCTGTCATCCAGGCTGTAGTACGGTGGCATGACCTTAGCTGACTACACCCTCCACCGTATTGCCTGGCAGGATTTGTCAAAATATAGGCTGTAGAATTGTAATATGAATTAATACTTTCAGAGTATATGATTTTCATTTTTTTTTTTTTAAGAGGCAGGATCTCACTCTGTTGTCCTGGCTTAAGTACATTGGCATAATCATAGTTTATTGTAACCTCCAACTCCTGGGCTCAGGAAATCCTCCCACCTGAGCCTTTGGGACTACAGGAATGCACCACCATACCTGGCTAATTTTTAAATTTTTTGTAGACATGGGGTCTCACTATGTTCTCCAGCCTGGAGGTGAACTCCTGTCCTCAAATGATCCTCTTGCCTCACTCAGCCTCCTGAGTTGCTGGATTATAGGCATGAGCTACCACGCCCAGTTCAGTAATAAAAAATTTGATACTTCACATTCATATGGTTGCTCTATTCCCTCAAAAATTTCAATTTATGGTAGATATGAGGTTTGGGCCACTGTTTTATGCCAAAGTTTTGGAGTTTGAAAAATATTTTTATGAATATTAAACTATATTCCTAAGTAGACAAACTTACTTTGACAAACTCAGCATTTTACGATGCCATAGAGACCACACAGTGAAAAGCTTCCAGCCAGAACTTCACTGAAAAGCCATAAAAATCATCACATCCAATGGAAATTAAACAGTTCAAAGACAAAAATTTTTATAAAATAGATAAATTGGGTTTTGGCAGATTGCCTGGAGTACTTATTCCATTCTGTTTCTGATCAACCTACATTAATGTCACTCATTGTTCCAAGTTTAAATTTTTGGGCAACAGAATGTAATTGGTTTAATTTAGTTCAGATATTTACAGCTGACTTAATCTTATGTAGCTGGGGCACATGGTATATTGGGCTGACTCAGGACTGGAGTGGAGCAAGTGTTGTCTTTCAGAATAGTGGATGGGCAGGACAATGGTGTGCCTTCTAAACTGCCAAAGTTCACATCTTATAAATGGTTGAAACAGGATTGTAAACTCAGTTACCTGACTTTTACGTACATAAATTTAATGCTTTTCACTATTTTGCTATTATTTCTTTAAGCATGTATCACATAAGGCCATTGATAAAGGTAAGTTTCACTGAGCCACTACTTTTGAGCATACTGTTCTGAGAAGCATTGGAGAGTTTCTTAAATAAATGACAGTATGTAGTTGTGAAATTGGAACTTGTAAAATGTCAGTTTAGAAAATTATAGCTACATCTTCAAATACTACTAAAATACTTCAAATATTTTAAAAGTTGATGTTCTTAACCAGTATTAAATTGTATTTCCTTTCTTTCCCAAACAGGCCAAAAATAAGGTTAATGCAAAGGAAGCAAAACAAGCAGAATTAGATTATTGCAGACTTACCGAAGCTCTTGCAGTTGAAAAGGAGAAAGAATTTCAGGATTACGCCAGAGAAGTAATTGAGCTTGAGTCCGAAACAACAAATAAATATATTTATCCTCTTGTAAAAGCTGTACAGGAAGGACCTGGAGGTGGCTGTGGGCCAGTTTTTGTGGACAGAGGTGGACTGAGACCCAGCTATCAGGCAAATGACATTACTGGAGTCCAGCTCCCTTTTTATAACTCTCAGGGATCAAAATATAGTTTTCAAAAGTCTAAGGGAAGGCTAGGTTTTACGTGGTAGAAAAATTTATTTTTGATTGACAAGACGAAGTTGTAGCAAACATGAACTACAAATATAAGTGGATTGTATACTTAAAATTTTGTTAATAAAGTTGTTCTTCATCTAAGTACAATTATGTCTGATTTTATTCTTCACAGTATTTCCATTGGGCATATACAGAACCTCAAGGTTAGTTGAGATTCCTTTTTTAAATTGTAAAATACATACACAATGTAAAATTTATTTTTAAATGAACATTCAGGGGAATTAGGCACTTTCACAGTATTGTACTACCAGAACTTTTGGGTGCTCCAAATGGAAACCCTGTACCCACTAAGCAGACACCCCCCATTGCTCCTCCCCAAATCCCCTGGTAACCACTAACCTGCTTTGTCTTTATGGATTTGCTTATACTGGGTATTTCACATAAACAGAATCATACTGTAACATTTTGTCTGGCTTACTTTACTTAGTATATTTTCAAGGTTCATCCATGTTCATCAGTCCATTTCTTTTTATGGCTGAATATTCTACTGGGTACATTTCTTTTCCGCAGAAATTCATGTTTATGGATTTGGTTCAAAAGTAGTTTAGTACAATACTAGCATTACTACTTAGAATGGGATTACTAAGTGCAGTTAAAGCCTTCTTTGTGGTTTATTTTAGAGTGTATCCTACTAGATGTGTGAATTACCATGTTTTTTTAAAAAAATTTGTTTTGTAGAGATGGGGGTCTTACTATGTTGCTCAGGCTGGTCTTAAACTCCTGGCCTCAGGCCGGGCGCGGTGGCTCACACCTGTAATCCTAGCACTCTGGGAGGCC